ATGTGGCACAAGGTCGAAAGTAGGGGCATCCAGTGAGGATCGAACTTACTAATCAGTCGTAATTGTTCTAGCGTGACAAGCTTGTTAACCATTACACCGCCTTGAGGTCCCCTCAAACGCACATTATAAACTGACCGTTTTCATGCCTTAATATTTACAGCCAAATGGCAAGGTAGTGGAGCAGTTCATTTACATAGAGAGAAATAAATACATATTTTTAAAAAAATAAACAGATTAAGCAGAGAAGCAAGAAGCCAGAAGAGATTTCCACAGGCGGGAAATATAAGAGAAGAAACTGTTAGCGTAGAACTTACGGTTGCATCTAGCCGTTTAAACGCTAAAATGATGAAACCATGTCGCCAATCTGGCAATGCGTTTAAATTCATAAAGTCTAGTTACAATAGAGGAATGCTCATCAAAACAATTACCATGAAAATATTTATAGAAGAGGCACAGGGAAGTTACTTTACGATGGTAAGAAAGTGACTAGAGCCGCAATGCCAGGTCTGGACCTATAATATTGCAGATTCTTCTTTATATTTTAATTGTGTATCTCTAAATACATAGCAGAAACACCAGAACAGATGTGACAATATTCAATTTTTATATCCACAGATTATTAAATACTCATATTTTATTAGTCGCCTAATTTACATTCTTTCGTTCTAGCTTCATTTGTTACCATCTTGAATCGAATAGAAAAACGAAGAATGGATCCATCAATGGACATTCTTGTTGTCATTTCTTTACATTCAAACATTCACCCTCCCACCGACTGTCTCCAATTTTCCTAAATTCAATTCCACCCAGGGGATTTTTTTTTCTAATCCAGACAATATGATAGACAGTTTTGATGGCATTAATAGCCGTCATATTGGAAAATGCAAATGTATTCTACTTGCAAATTTTCAAGAATAACGCTGGTGAATCACAAAGATGGCAGATGGTTTATACGATAAGTTAGCTAAAAGTTTAGGGAAGAAGAGACACGAAATGACTTCTTCTGCCTGAGCATGTCTCTGGTAGGCGAGCTAGCAGATGAACAAGCATCCTTGGAAACGAATAGCCAGCCATTACACATTATATATATATATATGTGTGTGTGTGTGTGTGTGTGTGTGTGTGTGTGTGTGTGTGTGTGTGTGTGTGTGTGTAAAAATATATAGGAAAGAACTCGTTAGGTAAATAATCCAAAGTTCTTTAGTATTTTTGTTATTATTTTTAAAAAATAGTGCTCGATACAAAACGCTAGTGAATCACAAAGATGGCAGATACAAAAGTAGAGCATAAATATAGTTATTTATTTAAAAATATGATTCCATCGCTACATAAGAGTTCTCATGTTTCAAAACAAGAGCCGAAAACTTCAATATAATTATTTGAATTAAATTGAATTAAAGTACCAAGTTCTGTTCCATCTTCAAGCGAAGTTATCTTCCGCTTTGAATTTAGACACCCCAACCTTACCCTGACTTGACCTCTGTGAATGTAACTGAGATATTGATACAAATTATTAACCCTTACGCCCCTTTTCTTTAAATAATTGCTCTAGCCGTTACCATAGTAATTTTAATTTTAAAAATGAATATGCTTATAAAACGCGTAAATTTCAGGAATTAGTTATTCAAAAAAAAATTTAGTCGAGCAAGTCTCTATTTTCCCTTTTAAGGAAAGCGCACTTCCGCTTCTAGATATTTTTCTCGAAAGCCCATATCTGCTCAATTTCCTAAGTGAAATGTAAACAAAGCAATTTCTAAATAATTAATGGATTTATTTTTAATTCGGCGTTTTTCAAACGTTATTATTAGTAGATGTTTGTATTTGAAACAGACGGTCAATTTTTTTTTATTTTAAACAGCGTGTCTATGCACACTTATTAATAATATATTGTTACAGGTATATGTATAAACAGATCATACTAAGTCCTATCAGCCGATCCTTTTGTTTGGATAAGGATGGTAGTCTTGATTTAATAGGAATTTTAAGTGATAGTTGGAATGTTCTTCACTCAAAACTGAGAATATATCCTAATGCAAATATGATGCACATTTTTAATAAAGTGATCTGTGATTGAGGAACTAAATGTGACACTTAAGCAAATTATCCAGTCGACCTTTTCTAATGCACACTGGGACAGGTTGAGTAATTCTCTTCTCTAGAAGTTCGGTGGTCTTACCTATCCACTCTATGTCACAGTGGCGATTAAATAGACAAATTACGCAGTCAGTTATGTGCCATGCGTGATACACCGTAGGCGATCATGTATCTTTCGATTCATGACCGACGAGGCAGATTTTTCCCGCAGTTGGTTGCCATTTCTTTCTGCGGTCGACCAGTTGCCATCCAAGGCTATAAAACGTGGTATCTCCTGCTATTTAGCCATAGCTGCAAGGAGAAGAAGAGGGTTCATTTCCCAAGGTTATTAGCACGTAAGTGAATGTAATTGGATTCAACTGGAATTCGAACTTGGCTCTCCGATTCCTCAATCCGAGCCGCTACC